GGGGGGAGGGGGACTCACTCATGGTGGGGGGGATCTCACGCCCACTGGGGGAGGGGAGCACACTCACTTCCCCATATCGGGATGTTTCTGCTCTCTGCCTTCATCACGATGGAGGACATCGTCATGGTGACGGCGATGGCGTCGAAGTAGGAGGAATGGGGTGCCAGGGTGAGGATGGGGGCCTCAGAGGGCGGGGCCTGCCGCCCCTTCACCACCACCCAGTGGAAGCCGCCGGCGAACCACATGGTACGCATGATGGCCTTGAGCAGGAAGTCCACGACCCTGCAAGAGAAGGTGCCGAGGTTAACCCGGGGCAGAGCAGGGGGGTCGCAGGCCGGCTCCGTCACCGCTCGCTCGTGCAAGGCTGGCCCGTGGAGACGGACGCTGGGACTGCAGCCGTGAGCTGTCAGTCACCCAGGGCGCCGTCCAGGCCGCTCCGATCTGTGCCCGGCGGGAGGGAATAAAACAGTGCTGCACTTTCGTTCCTCCCGTGGGACGTGCAAACCGTTACTTTGTCAGGAAAGCGGGAGTGCCCGTGGCACTCTCCCAGCCGCGTGAAGACACACGAGCCCTGAGTGCGGAGGCCGACCTTCTGGGCAGGGAGGCTGTAAATCCATCACCTCACTAGGCATCCAAAATGCAATTAAAATCAGGAGGGAAGTCAGGCGGAGACCAGAGGCAGAGACCGGTGAGCAGCAGCCTCCCTCAGGCTGCCGCGGGCCCGGGGACCAGACGCCACGTTATTACAGAAGCCTTTTCTGGATGAAATCAGCTGGACGACAACTTGGGAAATGAAGTAAAAATCGGCCTAGATTAGCTGAACTTGCTTCCTGTTTACTTTTAAACGTACGAGAACACAGACATTTACATCTGCACGGCCCCTGGTCGTAGCCTCTGACCGGCGGCATCCGGATGGCGAATCCCCACGTCACCAAATGACACGGAGGTGAGAAGGGGCCACGTCTGTGAGGATGTAGACAGGACTGCACGACACAAACATAAGAGCTGGAAACCTCACTGGCCTGACCCCCTTCAGAGAATTCTGGAAGACGAGGTGCGACAGCTCCAGGGGGCCCAGCCCGGGGGAGCGCAGAGCACCTCACGCAGCCGCCCCGAGCGGCCTGGCCTGCGGATGACGCAGTCACTGTGCGGTTATGCACACGCCAGGGGCCAGGCCCCGAAGCCCAGTCTCCATAGCCAGGAGCGATCGCTTCGTTACTTGCCCACCAGCATGTTTATAAGCGTTTGCCTGCGTGCATGCTACTTCTCGTGACAAGAACACGTACGGAGAGAAGAGCCAGCTGATGCCCAGGGACACGTAAGGGGGAAGAGGCCGTGGCCGATGGGGAGCCAGTCCCGGAAGTCACACGCACAGGAAGATGGTGGGGGGCAGGTAAAGTGAGGACCAAATCCTGATGCTTCTGCTAGACACACACCCACCACCCCTCAGGTCAACGGGAAAAACAGCACTAAACAGAAATGGGGTGGGGGGTGGACACACCCCCCTGAGGATTCTCTGAAGATCTCGGGGGGTTCCGTCCACAGGACACCGCCCGCTGGGGAGAGCCAGCCTCTCAGCAAAGCCTGTCCACAACCCAGTACCTCCCAGCCGAGGCTCAGGCCGCGGTGATGAGCCCGAGGTGCCCAGGGCGTTCCCCAGGGGCAGTGAACCGGGCACAGATCTACGCGCACGGGGGCATCCTTGCTGCACCCTCCATCTGCCACCCTAGAACCCGACACGTGCGCCGAGCCAGCCACGTGATGGAGCAGAGACGGCCCCGGGAGATGCGCCAGGAGAGAGGCCAGGGGTCCACGCTCTGCTGGTGCAGGTACGGGACCCAGGACGGGGCGTGGTGAGGAGGGGCAGAGAACAGGGAGGCAGCGGTCTCTCGCTGCAGGAACAGCCGCTTCGCGGGGAAGCTGCGGAGTGAGGAGGGTTCTCCCGGGAACATGCACGGGAGAAGGGACAGCACTTTGGGCGGGAGAATTCAGCACAGGACAGCAGGCTCCTACAACTTCCTCTGAGAGCTTTGCAAATTCCTGAGGACGGAGAGAAGATGCCAAAGCTGCCAGAGAAGAGCAGACAGGCCACGGAGCGCCGCAGCTGAAGGCGGCGCGGGCGGCACTCACGTCCTCGCGGCCTCGGGCACGCAGGGTCTGGAGCCTGTAGTCTGCGTCCTGACAAGCGATCCATCAACACAGAGGAGAGCGAAGACGTCCACACGGGAGACGCGCCCAGTCCCTCCTGCGCATCCTCTACCTGGGAAACACACTGACCTCCAGAAAAGAACCCCACACCAGGGGACAGATTACGCCCCAAAGACCTGCAGAAAGTCACTGCATCCGGCAGAAGAGGAAGGTGTGGCGGGGGCGCCAGGACCCCCCCAGGAGGGAACTGTCTGGGCGTGGCCACCAGGGCGCAGGATGTCAGGCTACGCTCGGGCCCAGCACTCTGTCAGTGACAGGCCAAGCGAGAGTCTGTGACAGGAAACAAGGTTAGACGGGATAAGAGCGGGGCTCGGACGTGACGTGACGGGACGGGTGTCCAGTGGGAGACAGACCACGGCTGCCGCGGGGAGGACCCGGAGGGAGCACCGTCTGCGGCCAGGGACAGACCTGCCTGATTCCGGCGCCCGCCGCTATGGCGGCCAAAGGGACTACGATCCCCTTTCTAACCGCCTGAGCCGGCCAAGGGGCACCGCCTGAGCACCGCTGGCCGGCGGGCCGGGTTGTGCAAGAAGATGCGCTGGTTGTTTACATGACTCAGCTTTGAAAGTAACTGTGAAGAGATGTCTTGTGAGAATGCATCGTTCCTTCCTTCCCTGGACGCCCAGGGCTTTCATTTCAGGAAGTCCGAACGGCACGAATTTCTATTGGGCAGAAACCCTCCCTGATGGCACAGCGGTCCACTCCAGCCCACGCAACCCTGCACGGCGTGGAACCGCGTGCCTCCTGGGTGACCCTGCGATGACCCTTCGGCACAGCCCGCATGCACTCAACCCATGTCCCCCTAACTCCCGAGCCCCCAGATCAGGTGCTTTGTCTCCATGCTCTCCTTTATGGAGCTCAGTGTTTCCCCTCGACAGCAGACCCAGCCCAGGGCCATGCATGGCTCACACACACCTGCACGTACACACGCTCATGCACACACCCACAATGCACACATGCATATACATACACATGCACGTACACACGCTCATGTACAGACCCACACGTGCTTATATACATGCCCATGCTTGTACACATACATGTATGCGAACACTAGCGTACACACCCACACGCATGCACACATGCATGTATATACATGCACATCCTTGTACACATACACAAACACTAGCGTACACACCCACACATGTGTACGTGCATGTACATACATGCACATGCTCGCACACATGCACCTATGCACACACATGAACACATATGCCCCCACATATGCATGTATGTGCTCACACGTGCACATACACACTCACCTGTATGTACACATACACATGCTTGTACACACACATTAACATGTGCCCACACACGTACTCATGCATACACATGAAGGCGTATACACATGCACACTCACATGCTTGCACACACATGCACACATCCACACAGGCATATACATACATAGGTCACACACACATGCACACACTCGTACGTGTGTGCACAGTGACGTGCGGTCTCCATGGACATGGACACCTCTACTACTGCTGCCGAAGGCCACTTCTCAGGCGCTCTGGGCACACGAGGCACCTGGGAAGCAGTGGTGCTGGCGCTACGCTGGTGTGGCCCACTTGTCATCGATGGAGCCGCGCGGAGCCGCGTGGAGCCGCACGGGGTGGGCGTGGGGAAGGGAGACCGGCCCAGAGCCCCGCACTTTGAAAAGACGGAATCTGTACTGCACGTGTGAAGAGAGGAGGAGGGAAGCCCAGCCTAAGAGCAGAGCTGAAGAAAGAAGTAATTAAGACAAAAAGTGCCAGGAAAGCAGTGTTAGCCTAGCAGGACTAAACCCTCAGGTTTTTAGTCAAATCACTCGTGATTTGTCAAAAACTACAAAAAACTCTGCTTTCCAGCTATGGAGTCTCAACCTAGCAAAACTGGAATTCTGATTTCTATTTGGTCTAGATTTTGTTTGATCACATATTTGAAACTAAATTCATATTTTAGGATTGAAACATTTAAAAGCTCCCTCAAGGTACAGCATGCTCTTCAAAGAGAAGGAACGCAGAAGGCCACAAGGAGGACCTCAAAGCCAGGGTGACCCCAGGGTGCCCGGGAGACCCCAGCGACAGGACCGCCAAGCAGCCGCCCTCCCTCGGGACCTGTGTCCCCAGGCCAGGTGCTGTGCTGGGGACAGAACGGGGGCAGGTCATGGGCTGCCTGCAGGTCCGCCAGGGAGGAAGACAGGCCGTGGCTCACGTGGTACTGACGAGGGTCCAAGAACGTGAAACACCGTGGGGAGCGCACGGGGACCTGTGTGAGGGTCCCCGGCACCTGGACCGTCCCCGGCATGGCCGCGCTGCACTCCTTGCTGGCTCGGCAAATGCTGGGCGCGGAATGGCCGTCACTGCCGCGTGCGAGCAGGCCAGCTGTGCATGGAGGCAAGTGGCGCCGCTTCCCGCCCGCCGGCCGCACACACGCGTTCTCGGGGAGGAGGTCCGGGCCAGGCCCACAAACCCGCCGAGGGCTAGGAGCAAATGCTCCAGGCTTCGTGGCCCCCGGCGCCTGTGTGGCGACTCCACCTTCCTGGGGGTCGTACGCAGGTGCACGTGTGGCTGGGCCCCAGGAACGGCCCTGCGCGGGCCGAGTACCAACTCCCCCAGGGGGAGAGTCCTGTCCAAGGGCCCGGCTGGGTGCGGAGAGCGTGACGGTGTGCAGACAGCGCAACCCTCTGGGTTTAGGACGGAAACGACAACCTCTGAGACGGGGAAGTGCTTTTCAAAGCCCTCCTGACGGTGCACCACCTTCACCTACTAACGCGTACACTTCAAGGGCAGCTCTGGGGAACGAGAAGACGCTGTGATTTACTTCCCTGAGGCCCACGATGGGTCTCTGGTTAGGGTGTATTCACAACACGTCCATCCTCAGACGGCTCTGCCTTATCAGTATTTGACGGGCAAACGCAAGGGAAGCTCCAGGTCTGCGAAGCAGGGGGCGACCCAGGGCCCTGCAGACCGGACGGTGAGCAGACAGACGCTGGCTGACACGCAGCCTCAGGGCTGGGCACGTGCAAACACGCGGGGATCTCTGTGCTGAGGACACGCCAGCCGCGGCCCTGTGGCTTGGAGGACCCGGAAGCGCCCTCGGGGCAGGGGTGTGGGGGGCACGGCAGGGGCGGAACCAGCCCCCCCCCCCCAAGGAAGGGGGCGTGAGGCTGGCGGTGTCCCCGCCGGGAGAGGGCAGCCTGGAGCGCTCCGGGCCCGGGGGGGGGGGGGGGGGGGGGGGGGGGGGAAGATGGGCAGGAGCAGCCGGGGGCAGGAGGAAGAGACGCAGTGGCCCCCGCACAGCAGGGCCCCGCAGACGAGCGACTTACTTCCGCCACGAGGCCGGGGATGTTCCGGGCTCCCTCTCCGCACACCCCAGCGTGGTGAAGAACGTGAAGGGCCAGGCGAGCAGCATGGCGGCCAGGACGAGCAGCAGCCGGATGGGGAAGAGCGTCAGCGTCATGAAGGCGACCTGGGGAGACAGGGGCGAGGTCGTTCGCAACGGGCCGGACTCCGCGTGGGCGGGCGGCCCGGAGCCGGCGTGGAGACGCCGTGCCTGCCTCACACGGTGGTGGCGAGGGGCCAGGATGTCCTGCGAGGGCTCTCAGGCTGCACCGCTGTCCCCACGCCCGAGGCCCTCTGGGGCCGCCCCGCGCACACGCCTGAGTCCCAGGACCACACGGGCGCCTGTGCAGCGCTGAGACTCCCGCGGCGCTGCGGATGCGGGAGCGCGGGGGGGCAGCAGGGACGCCATGACTCTCCACCCCAGGACGTCACGGCTGGGAGCCCAGAAGAGAACGGGGTGCGGCCAGCCCCCTCCAAACGCACAGCACTGGTCGGGGTGACGCCATGGGAGGGGCTCCGTGGGGACGGACACATGGGGTTCACCAGAGGGCCCAGGTCAGGGACAGACACGGTGGCCAGCCGGCCCTGAAACCAAGCGCTCGTGTGCACAGGCCCAGGTGGAGGTCCCCACCTGGGACGCTCAGGAACGTCGTGTTCTCAGCGATCGAGTGGGAAACAGGGCAGAGAAGGGATGAGAAGCCTTAAACTCACAAAGGATTTGTGATCTACAGATGCAACTTATAATTATTTGCAATAACACACACTTCAAATATGTAGGTCTCGGCACACAGAGGGCAGAAAAGACGGGCCGAGAGAAAGTGCACAGCGAGGTCTCCCAGCTCCTGGGTGACCCGGCTGCAGGGCCCCACGGCCGGCCCCCTGCTCGACGGTCACCTGCACGGGAGCCGAGCTGAACGGCCCCGCGGCTTCTCTGCAGGCGCAGGCGAGCCCGGGCCCGCTCTCAGGAGCAGCACCGCCCAGCAGGCAGCACAAGCCGCGTGTGTAAGTTTAAACTGCCTAGCGGCCAACACAAGGTGATGGGCCAGCTGCAGTACCCATCTGCTGGCCTGTGGCTGACGCGGCTGACGTCTCCTTCCGAGCGCGGCTTGCTCTACGTTGTAGCAGATGTGCCGCCTTCCGCCCCCGGCACTTCTGGGAGTTGGGTTTAGCTGTCACGAATGGCCGAACTTGGCCCTCCGTCCTCCCTGCATCTAGTGCTGGTGCCGGCTCAGCCCGAGTCCGCCGTGCGCTGCAGACGTCCTAACGTGAGAACCTTGGTCACAGCACCGGAGGGCAGAGAGGAGACAGAATTCCCGGCCGGCTCCGCGCCGTCAGCACAGAGCCCAGCGTGGGGCTCGACCCCACACACCGTGAGATCATGACCCGAGCCGAAGTCAAGAGTCGGGGAGTTTTTTAAGGAAATGAGTCTGTCTCCTAGTGCGTATCTGGGTGGAGTCCTGGGCAGGCCTGAGCCCCCGCTTCCCTCTGCGTGGGTCCTGCGGTGCCCCGCGCACCAGCGAGCCGCCTCTGGGGAGTTTCCGCGGAGACACACACGGGTGCAGCTTCAACTTTTTCTTATTGTGCAGAGGTGTCCCACGTGTTCTTGTGCCACTGAGGAAGGAAGTCCTGTCTGGAAGTCCCCAGGGGAGTTTTTCTCCCCTAGGAAGTCCCCCATCGCACACGTGTCCTGGAGAGGACGCGGGGAAGGTGCCCCCCCCTGGGTGTCTCCTCACCCGGCCCCGTAAGCAGTACCATTCGTGCCCTCGGAAACTTTTCAGCCTAAGCTGACCGATATGTTTCGACTCTATCAACTGGCTTACCGAACCGGTTTGGGGCGGGTTACTGGGCGGCGGACCCCAGCCCCCGCAGCCGGCCTCTCGCCCTGACTGCACTCTGACCCCTTCTTCTTGAGGCCGGAGCGCGGGGCGCCATTTTCAGAGGTGCTGTTTCCCAGTGGCCGCCCAGGGCACACGGGGAGTTACAGGCCGCCGCCCGCGGGGCCGAGATGACCAGGCAGCCAAGCACGCGAATGGAAGCCGGCAGGAGGTCGCCACACTCTGAGGAGGGCACGGCCGCGAAGCTGTCCGCTCACCAGCGGGCCAACCCTGTCTGGCGACAAGGAACAGAGCCGCCCGGGGCTCCTGGCGGGCACGGAGTGCATCTGAGAACCACAGACGGGACCGTACCGGGTGACCCGAGCCCGCCCAGCGCCCCGGGTCAGGGCACGGAGTGCCGCTCCGCACGTTGCTGAATTAAAAACACGTGTTCCCGTAGGCCGGCCGGCAGCCATGGGGCTCACCGGCCGCTGTGCCCGGGACGCAGCACGTCAGCGACCACAACTGACCATCAGATGACAATTCACATGCCTGCGCTTCTGCGCACCCAGACCACACCATCTGGTGTCCGGGTTTCACGGCAAGCGGGGACGGGGCGTGGCCGCGGCTCACAGACGAGCCTCCTGCGCGGCGCGGTGAGGAGTGTCACAGGCCTGTGGGGAGCTGCCCTGGCGGGGCCTGAAGGTGGGCAGAAAGCGGCTCCGTGGACACGGGTTTACCGAGCACCACGTGAGCGGCCTGGGGAGGGCGAGCACCTTCGGGAGGCCGCCTGGGCGAAGACCCTGAGTGTTTCCGGTGCTGCTCCCGGGGACCCCACACCCCTGCGTTCGCCTCGCCCAGACCCTGGGCCCGCCCGCTGTCCATCCTGCCCCAGACCAGGGCAAATCGTCTCCCGGAGGGGCAGGACTTGGAAGGCTTCCTGCAGCTCCTTCCAGAACCTTCTGTGGGTTCTGGCCACTTCTCCCGAATTGCAGGCTACTGGCTGGCTGGACCCTCCTGTCCCCTGTGGCCTCTGTCCCTCCCAGGCCCGGCCGCCTGCTGGCGCCATGACCATCCCCCACACCCTGCGCCCGGCCTGTCCCAGCAGACTGTTTCCAGCCACACGGACGCTCTCAGGGGTGCTGGGGCCGAGGAGAGACGTGCTTGGAAAGTCCTGGCTGGACTGGGAGGCAAACAGGGCCACAAGCAGACGAAAGGGGCCGACTGTGCTGTTTCCAGGCAGTTCTGGCTCAACGCTCAGAAGGCCCTGTAATTAGCAACCAAGCTGGACGTGGTATTTCCCTCCCAGAGGCAGCGGGGGGGCACCTCGGCCGGCCTGGGTCCCCGTATCCCATTCCCCACCGGGAGTGTGCAGGGAGGAGGCGGGGGGGGGGGGCACCAGGGAGAGGGCGGGTCTTCATTCCCCACAACCTGAACGAGACCCAGCTCCGTGCTGGACGTGGACTCAGACACCCAGGCGGGGGGTACCCACTCCCACTGGAGCCCCCGCTCAGAGCAGCCCTGGGCTGGACGGCGGGGTCAGCGAGACAGCGGGGGCTCGGGGAGAGAACGCTGGCCTTGCCCCCGTGACGGCGCTGGGTGGGGGCCGGGGGCAGCCGTGTCATAAGGGGGAGAAGACTGCAGACAGAGCAGGAAGAGGCTGGTAACCCGGGACCCGCATCCTGTCCCTGTCAGGAGACCGGGTCACCCTCAAAAGCGCCACGTCCAATAAAGTATGTGACCGGCCCTCCCGTGAGCTGAGGGTTTATAACCCAGTCCGAGGGGCCCTACGGTGACAGGCCCTGGCTGAGTCCGTTTACACTCCCTGGAAGCTGGCTTCGATACACGGTCCCGTCAGAAAGGGGTTCACTAGGGGCAGACGGGACCCACAGCTCATGGTCTGTGTCACGGAGCAGCTGCTGTGGCCTGGCACACCCTTTTAAGTCCCCGCTGGAGCAGCCCTGGGGCACGGAGACCCTCACGGCCGCCTGCAGGCTCCAGACACTGTTTCCTGCCAGAAGGGGTCAGGGGCCGAGAAGTGGAAGGTGCAGCGGGAACGGGGTGCACGGCTGAAGCCGGGAAGGGAGGCGGAGGCCCCTCGGCCCAGGACCCCGCGGCGGACAGCACTGTGAGCCCAGGTAAGAACCACTGACGCCGTAACAGAACTTCACACGCGCTCACGAGGGCATCAGCCCGGGCACACACGCCCAACCTCACTGGGCGCCTCCGGGGGACCTTAGGAGACCAGCTCCTGAGCGTGACACGTGCCAACGAGGGGGAAGAATCAGGCATCGTGCAGTCTCTCCCAGGAGACTTCCCGGGGCATCCAGGTGGAGAACGGGGGGAGTCCCCCGCAGGCTTCCAGAACCTCACCACTCGCACACACACCCACGTGCTGAGGGGGCCAGCGCCGACGGACACAAGCGTGCGAGCTGGGCGCTGCGTGGACGAGCCACGGGACAAGCCAACAGAGACAGAACCTCCTGATTCTGGATCAGAAAACGGGAGACGCGGGGAGGCAGTCAGCAAGACGCAGAGCAGGGCGCTCAGGGACAAAGCCCCCGACACACCTCAGAAAGTACATGAAAACAGGAGCTGGAAGGAGGCTCCAGGGGAGAAGTATGTGAGGCTGCGGGACTGCTGCGGACGCGCGCCCCCCGCCCCCCCGCCCCGCTCCCCCGGGTGCGCGCGCCCCCCCGCCCCGCTCCCCCGGGTGCGCGCGCCCCCCCGCCCCGCTCCCCCGGGTGCGCGCGCCCCCCCGCCCCGCCCCCCCGGGTGCGCGCGCCCCCCCGCCCCGCTCCCCCGGGTGCGCGCACCCCCGCCCCGCTCCCCCGGGTGCGCGCACCCCCGCCCGCCCTGCTCCCCCAGGTGCGCGCACCCCTGCCCTGCTCCCCCAGGTGCGCGCACCCACAGCCCTGCTCCCCCAGGTGCGCGCACCCCACCCCTGCTCCCCAAGACACACGTGCCCCCAGAGCACCTACAGGTCAAGTTCGGGCTTTGCCTGTGGGTCACTGGGGCTGAGGGGAGAGCGGGTGTAGGCGAGACCAGAGCGGCCGGAAGTTGGCGACTGCAGAAGTGGGCGAGGGTGGGCCTGGGGCTCACTGTACTTTTCACTACATTTCCTCTGCTTCGGGGAGACCCGAAGGGGCCTCCTCCACGAACCGATGTCCCAACCCCCAGCCCACCTCCCCACATGCCTGTCCTGAAGACAGGGCCTTGAAAAGGTTACTGAGATACAATCAGGTCACCAGAATGGACCCTAATTCCACAGGACAGGCGTCCTCACACGAAGAGAAGACTAGGTGACAGACAC